CACAAAAGGAAGGAAGAAGATGAAAAAGGTTGGTGTACTAAACATCTTTATTCACTACTCGATTCACTCAAGTGAATCGAGATTCAGTTGCATGTTGTTATTTTTTTTTTGTATTAACTGATGGATAATTTGATCTAATTATATTTTTTTGTCACTGGAGAAGGTTTTGAAAAAAAAATGTGAGGTCTGAACCTAAGGAGTTCACTAGGATACGGGTCTCTCCAAAGATATTCTCTGATATGGTTTTGTCACTCTCTGACTCCTAAAAAGAATAGGTGAGACTAGCTGGACTTGGAGGTCTTTTACAATTTGGATTAAAGGAACTGTCACATATGTTGGGGTACAAGATTCTGCAGTCCTTTGACAGCGAATCCGTTGCGCTTAATCTTCCCAGAGGATCAATCAGTATCACAGAGGAAGATGTACATGAAGTGATGAGATTACCTATGGGTAGGAAGCATATACCAGCCTCTAGTATTGGGCAGTCAGCATTGGTGGATGAATGGAGGGCTCAATTCACAGACAGTGTTGGTTGGGAAATTACTCCAGGGGCTGTGTCTGAGAAACTGAAGCAGAGTTCTGATGTTAACCTATTGTTTAAACTGAATTTCTTGGTTCTCTTTCACAATAACATGATCCAGTCGCTTAGCAATCCGTATGTCAAACAACGGATTCTAGTTCTTGGTGACAATGTTGATCAGTGCTCTGAATACAATTGGTGTTCTTTCTTGCTTGACTCAATGATAGAAAGCCAACACAAGTGGAAGGTAGACCCGACAAAACTATTCTACACGAGTCCTCTTGCATTTTTGATTGTAAGTCACTTGTATAATATTGATTTATTTTTACATTACTGTAGTTAAAGTAGTTTTACTTGATGATTACTAATTGGTGTGCTTTATTTCTTATGTCCGTCTTTCTAGTTGTTCTATGCCGATCGGGTCTTATTCAAAGGGAGGAGGTTGGTTGAGAGAACAACCCCTACATTTTTAGGCTGGACTGATTTGGCCTTGAAGGAAAGACAGTCAGAGGAAATAAATAAAAATTCATTTGGCAAAGGTGCATTTACAGAGAGGGTTGAACTTGCACATTCATCTCGAATGCAGAGTGCTACTGGAAACTCGCCTAAAAGTGTTGAGACAATTAGAAAGGTTAGCAAATTAAGTTGCAAGACTTTGTTTATTCAATTTAATCTCGATTCAGTAGGAGTGAATCGAGATTCACTTAAACTGAATGTCGATTCAGTTCAATAAATCGTTTTACTAGTAATGAATCATGTTTCAGTTTAGTGGTTATCGATTAAGTTAAACTGAATTTCGATTCACTTAAGTGAATCTGGATTCAATGATACTCAATATCGATTTACTGAAGTGAATCTGGATTCACTACTACTGAATCTCGATTCACTAAAGTGAAACTGGATTTACTTTAGTCGACTCTGGATTCAGTCATTTGAATCTCGATTCAAATACATTGAATGAAATCTCAATCTATCGAATCTTGTCTCTCGCCATGTTAATAATTTATGGTGACCAATGTCTGTGAAATTCAAACTGCAAGATTGTATTGAGAGGGTGCAACGGAGAGCTGCAGAGTTGGAATCTGCAAAAGATAGATATGATGCTGAGTGTGAGACAATGAGAAAGTTGTTCCCCAATGATAATGAGCTCTTTCAAATTCAACAGAGAGTTTCAAATGTTCTTGTGCAGGGGTGGGGACATCGTGGAAGTACCCGTGACAATAAAACAGATGTGGGAAACATTGTTGATGATACCCCTAATGTGAACACCAAGGTGAGTAGAGATGTGCATGGTTCCCCTGCTGTTGATCCAATATCAGCTGAGTTACCACAAACACAAGTCTCCCCAAAGTTTATTCAAGAGGTTGATAAGATTATAGAGTCTGTTAGCATGAAAAAGGTTGACAGACCAGTGAGGCGTAAGCTCAGCGAATGTAGTACCTCACAGACTGAAGAACCTAGTTTTTCTCTTGGGCTGACACAGGATACTCAGACTGAGACAGTGGAAATGGTTGATGTTGTTCAGATTGCTAAAGCTTGTGAATTTGAAATCATTGATGACTTTGTACGAAGAACTGATAAACAAGCTGAAGATGCTGCTGCAGTAGATGAATGTAAAGGTAAGAAAGTTCAGGTGACCGAAAATAAGGGACATGCGGGAAGGGGGAAAGAAAAGAGGATGGTAAAGCCTGCAACGTCTCTTCGGTCACCATGGGTGCAGAGGGTATCTCAGATTACTGCTAGGCAAAGTCAGCTGGAAAGCATCATATGGAATTGGGTACATAGAGAAGTAAGGCATTCAGGTGATGATACCGCTGAAGAAGAGAATTTGTGAGTTCTGAACACTTATTTGATATTTTATTATTAGGTGTGAGACTCGCTATTGTTGCTGAGACTCACTGTTTTTAGTATTTTGTCCCTTTATTAAATTGAATATTGTTACTGTTTTTTCAGTGAAATGCTTTTTAAGTGGAAACAAATTGAATGTTTCTTACCTGCTTTCAAGACTTTCCTTCCTTCTGAGGACATTGAGGCAAATTTAATCAGCATTTGGTCCTATATTTTGAACAGCAGAGAAAAAATGAAGTCCGAAAATTCTCCACTTAGATTCTTCTGCAATGTTGAGACAACCGTACGTATCTTCCTTTATTTAATTTAAAATAACACTTGAGTTACATCTTATTTAACTAGTTTTATGTTGTACAGTTTTGCAACATTCATCACACAGATGAGGCCAATGATGAATTGAGATACAGTAGGTTTGCTTCCCGGATGGATGAGCAACTTGCTCTGTATCCACATATGAAGTTTAATGAGATTGATATGGTAAAGATTCGAAGACAATGTTTTTGTTCTTTAACCCAATTTTAACTATATCTGTAAAATCTCTGATTAAATTTCATAATCATTAGGTCTTCTTTCCCATAAATGCATTTGAGCATTTCTACATTGTGTGCTATGGGCTAAAGAATCTAAGTATGGAGCTGATTGACAATAGCAAAAACTACCCAGACTATAAGGAAAAATACCAAGGTCGTCCTGAGGGTTTGGTATGTTTTTCCACCTTACGTATGTGCTTTAAGCATTTACTGGCAGAATACAGTAATAAGTGCATCTGGATTCACTATAGTAAATCTGGATTCACTAGAGTCAGATAATTCCATATTCGCTAACTCTAGTGAATCTCGATCACTAGAGTTAGTGAATCTGGATTCACATCTTACTATGAATCTCGATTCACTAGAGCTAGTGAATCTGTGTTCACATTACGGAATCACGATCCACTAGCTATAGCTAATTCTAGTGGATCCAGATTCACTAGTGTGAATCAAGATTCATTAGAGTGAGTCCAGGTGAACTAACTCTATTAAATCCTGGCGAGCTAGATCCAATGAATCGTGATTCACTGTCATTAATACTGTTTCCATATAAATAACCAAAACAATTTGTATATTACATTAAACATTACTGTATGATAATTTGGATTTATTATGTGACACTGATTACTTTTGATTAAACAGCACAAGAATTTTGTGAGATATTTGGCACACAAAAAACATAACAAGGCGAGTGAAATAAATACATTAACGCCTGACAGACTTGAAATGGAGTGGAGAACGGCCAAAAACAAATTTGATTATGATATTTTTGTCATGAGACATATGGAGACCTACATGGGCGGTGGTACAGCAAATTAGAACTCGGGTTTTCATAGAGAGGGTGTAAGTGTTTAAACTAATAATGTGTTGATAATTTACAGTTAGTCTTTTTGAATTAATAAAATTTAGAATATAGCTACTGAATCTTGAACTGAACTTTTGTTCATATCGACAGGAGCGGTTAAAAAATCAGCTACATAGACTGAGGTCTATATACTGTTGCCAAATTCTTACTGAACCAACAAATGAATTAGCCAAAGAAGTCATCAGCAAAGCCCAACAGCACCATGCTGAAACTGCCAATGTCAAAAAAGAGACGAGGAAGACCACAAGATCTCAAAGAAAATGATATTCTGTAATCAACATAATTTTCAATGTTGAAGTTTACAGTTATTGAGTACATTGTCACTTAATGTTATAGAATACTCCAGTTTGTGTTGAACTGCTTTTCTATGTAAATATACTTTATAAGAATAGCTTTGTCATAATTTTATTTCTAGATTTGTGAATAGTTTGGATATATGAAAATACTGTGAAGGTAGTGAATGCAATTGGAAGAATTTCGATTTAAGCAGAAAATGTGAGTTATAATTCAAGGTTTTATGTAACATACAATAAATTAATCATACTTATTGTGGATTGTATGTATTTAATCTGAAATCACTGTTTTAATATTATCTTAAGTTATTACTAATTTATTTGATTGAATCTAGATTCACTATAATCCAGATTCACTACAATGAAAGATTCAATAAGTTAATCATACTTATTGTGGATTGAGTGTATTTAATCTGGATTCACTGGTTCAATATTATCTTAAGTTTTTAGTAATTTATTTGACTGAAAATAGATTCACTATAGTGAATCCATATTCAGTTCAGTGAATCCATATTCACTACAATGAATCTATATTCATTATAGTTAGTCCAGAATCACTTAAAGCGAATCAATCAAATAATTTGATTGTTTGATTGATTGTAACGAATCCCTATAGTGATATCGAGATTCAATATCAATGAATCTAGATTCACTACAATGAATCTAGATTCAATATAGTTAGTCCAGAATCACTTAAAGCGAATCAATTTTAAACTGATGACTGCATACAACTACTTTATCATTCCTTTTGAAAAAATACAACTAATAATAATGAAATTCACATGCTATATGAGTATATCTCAATTCAATATACTAACATGACACAACGTAACCATGTAATTAATAATCTAGTAAATATATGTAGTTAAGAATTACACAATTCAGCAATTTTAATAAGAAATTTATTACTAAACATGATTTTGAAACGAAATATGACAACTAAATTAAACATCACTCTGCTGTAATGTTTTCTTTAATGGGCATGTCCGTGCGTCATGAAAATCGATTTTTTTGCACATATTACACAGCCTTGGCACCTTCTTCTTTCGTTGACTAATTGATTTCTCATAATCACCAACAATTCTTCGTCCACACCCCTTGTTTCTACCTTCAATGGGAGGTTTAACAATCACTTCAGCTGGTATTTTTGAGCCAACAAAAAACTCCATTACATCATTTTTGTTCTGTGTGTCGGATTTCCAACTAGATTCACGCAAACTGTGCTTCAACTCCTTCAACTTCCCTTCCAGGTAGTCAAGTCTCTCACCATCTAAACCTGCCAAACTCACACAGGATTGGAAACCATATCATATATCATTCAACTTGCGATTTGTAACTTTAATTGCATTGTACTGTTCTGATATTTCCTTGAACTGCAATGAATGCCTCATCCCAGCACCTTTTGTCCATCGGTTCACAACAAGATGTCTTGGTATTTTTGTTACATCAGCTTGGTTCAGTGCAAGAAAACCATGTCTACATACTATACCCATTTTCTCAAACAGCCTACACGTACATTGCACGTCATTGTTCAAATAAGCGTGTTTCACCGAAAATTCAAAAAAACAATGTATATTAGCACCGAATAAAAAAAGAAAATGACAAGCGCATGAAATGGTCGCTGAATCTCGATTCAGTGGTGTGAATCGAGATTCACTTCATTGAATCGTGATTCACTTCATTGAATCGCGGTTCACTGCATTGAATCTGGATTCAATTTTTATTGTTTCAATCTCCATGATTAAGTTTTACCTCAAATATTTTTCCATGTCTCTTTTTGTCCTTTATGGAAAAAACCTTCACACCATCTTCTTCTGATATACTGTTGATACTCATATCATAACAGGATGACATTATCTCTTTTTGTACCTCATAAAACATTGTTCGAGTGTACAACTCTACTGCATCCCTCTCCAATAACAATGGCGTGTCCATTCTTGGCATCGACTTTGTTCCTTCATAGTTTAATCTTGCGTTTGTATGCCTTTGCTTCTCCATAGCACTCTCGTATCGGAGATAAAATTCTGTCAATGTGTCAGATCTACGGTTGAATTTGTCAAAGAAACTGTTCTCACTCTCTGATATTAATGTAGTACGCAATAAACTAGCCATTGGATCATCAGCATAATAGGCTGGAATCTATGACTCCCGAATGTTATACAGTTCACACAACCATTCATTACTTTCAAGCTTAAATTCTTTCATAACATCTTTCCAACCTACTTCAAATGTTTTGGATCTATATCTATACTATATTCTTTCATAACATCTTTCCAACCTACTTCAAATGTTGCTGGATCTATATCTATACTCCAAATCAGTGCATTGATCTTCCTCTTGAAAACTTCAAATGTTGCTGGATCTATATCTATACTCCAAATCAGTGCATTGATCTTCCTCTTGAAATCATCCAACTTCGAAATGCATTTTGCCAACTACAATATAAATATATAACAAAAGATTCAGTATTTATTTAATGATGATTCATGATATTTATATGTGGGATTCATTACCTTTTGGTTAAATTTCTTCATGATGTGCCACATGCACAAACGGTGACGTGCTTCTCTAAAGACGGTTGGTATAGCTTGCTTCATAGCAAGGCACTGATCTGTAACAATACACTTTGGCTCGCGAATCATGCATTTCATGAATACCTCAAAAATCCAGACATAGTTATCAATGTCCTCTTTAGCTATCAATCCTGCTGCAAATACAACACACTTCTTATAATTGTCGAGACCAGTAAATGGAACAAACTTCATGTTGTACCTATTGTATCACATACAAAAAATATAAGATTCACTATGATATATAATTATAATATTGAAAATCGTAAGAGATTAACTATAAAATCTTACTTATTTGTGGAATATGTAGAGTCAAATGATATCATATCTCCAAATACATCGTAATTTCTTCGTCCAATAACATCTGCCCAAAAGATGCGAGTTAATCGACCCCCTTCATCGACTACATAATCATAGAAAAATCCATCACACATCTCCTTCTTACGAGTTAATCGACCCCCTTCATCGACTACATAATCATAGAAAAATCCATCACACATCTCCTTCTTATCCGTGAACTTCTCGATGATCATTTGAGCATCTCGATCACCAATATAAAGCTTCACATCCCTACTCCAATTTTTAAACTCGGTACACAAAGCACCAACATTAGAATAACTTCCACACAACTCCTTAGCAAAGTTATATGTTTTGTTAGGCCCTATGTTGGCTTTTGCACCATTAAATACAAGTTTCTTATGTGCGAGACCGAGAACTCTATTTGACTTTAAAAATTATTTCCCACTACCGGAGACCAAAAAATGAGAATGCTCCTCAACGAATGAGAGAACATTATATCCTTTCAAACCATCAAACTTAAAAACGACTTTAGCTTTGCAACCACATCTACTAGATACAGTTCTCCTTCTCTTTTTCGAAATGCTACTAAAATCCTCAAAATTAACATCCATCTTTGATTCATTACTGCCAGCTCTACTGCAAACAATGTGTTTAAGAAGAACTGTACCGTCCTCATGTTTCTTCTCTGTATGCCGTCTGATCTCAAACCCACTTTTACGTCCATACTCTCGGTAAAACTCTATACCATCCTCTAGTGATCGGAAGCTTTGGTTTATATAAGGTTTAAATTCAGCTTCAACCCGAGGTTTCCAATACATACCACCACCTGGTGATTGAAAAGGAATCGAGCTAACTTCGTCCATTCCATCTTCCCCAAAATCACTGTCCGATGCATTTATAACATATGGTTCCTTTATTTGTTCATTGCTGCCTACAACTGAAAACAACATAAATCATATGGCTATGTTTTGATATACTGAATCTGGATTCATTACAATGAATCTGGTTTCACTGGAGTGAATCTCGATTCACTACATTGAATCCAGATTCACTACAGTAAACATGTGAATTCAGTTGAACACGTTCTAGTTGTTAGAGAATGCAGTGATTTTCATAATGTATTCACATGTTTACTGTAGTGAATCTGGATTCAATGTATTGAATCCAGATTCACTATAGTAAACATGTGAATACATTATGAAAATCACTGCATTCTCTAACAACTAGAACGTGTTCAACTGAATTCAAGCTCTCCAATTAAATTTACATAAAATGTTTACGAATGTAAACTCCTAGATAATAAGTCATATGACTAAGTTTTGATATACTGAATCTGGATCAATTACAATGAATCTAGATTCACTGCATTGAATTCATATTATTGCTAATTAATCTGGAGTGAATCTCGATTCACTGCATTGAATCCAAATTCACTACAGTAAACAAGTGAATAAATTATGAAAATCACTGCAGTCTCTAACAATGAATCTCGATTCAATGCAGTGAATCTAGATTAACAACTAGAACGTGTTCAATTGAATTCAAGAATCTGGATTCACTGGAGTGAATCTCGATTCACTGCATTGAATCCAGATTCACTACAGTATACATGTGAATACACTATGAAAATCACTGCAGATGAAAACAACTAGAACCTGCTCACCTGAATTCAAGCTCTCCATTTAAATCTCCATAAAATGTTTAAGAATGGCCAGATGATGGACGATGAACGAGAGAGCTCAAATACGATGAAGGACAGCTGCTAGTTGTGGAGTGACTAGAAGACGATTTCTCGATTGAGAGAGAGCTGAAGGACGATGAACGAGAGCTGCTGGTTGTGGAGTGAGAGGGCTGCTGTTCGTGACTGTTGGGTTGCCTGAGCCGTGAGATTGCAAGGGAAAATGGACCACTACACTTGCATGGAGAACTCAACAGACAAGCATTAATTACCTCTCTTTGGGGGTTGTTAATTTTACCTGGTTACCCTTATGCAGCTTTAATCTCAGCCATTGGATGAATCTAGATCCAATGGAGAGGATTGGTTTTTAGTTTTTAGGATAGTGAGGTTTTTATTTGAACTCTCTCTCTCTCTCTTCTCTCTCTCATCTCTATCTATACTAGTATTAATTACATATATATATATATATATATATATATTATATATGATATATTATTTATTATTAATATTATTTATATATATTATATTATATACTATTATACTAATATATATTATATGCATAAAGTTCTTGTAACTTAAAGTGCTGAATGATCGCCCAAGTTTGTAGACGGTTTGATGAAAGATCTTCATAACATATTAATAAAAATATTCTTTATTGTTAGAATGTTAGGCGTTGGTATAAAAAAAAATTTTGAACACCAAGATGCAATTTAATTAGATGCTCTTTCTTCTCATCCGCATTTGCTTTTTTCCGGTGTGAAACAAAAAAAGCTCATGTCTTCTTCATAATTCTAGTGTATAGGGGGGGCGGGCTTTACCTTTGCTTTTTCTTGACTGGGCAATTTTGGGGGGGGGGAAGCTTCAACAACGTATACACCTCGTTTTGAGTCGTTTGCTATTATTGCTGTAGAGCGCGAGGGCTTCACGTATGTCGACCCCATCACTAAGACATCTCCTTTCTCGTTTTATGATCCTTGTGAATGCACCGATTCTGATGACGCCAGCCACCCTCCTAACAGGCCGCGGTTACATCCTCAAGGGGGGGGGCGAGGGGCTTTACCTTTGCTTTTTTGACTGGGCAATTTGGGGGGGAAAAAGCTTCAACAACTGTATACACTCGTTTGAGTCGTTTCTAATTATTGCTGGATGGCGGCGAGGGCTTCAACCGTATGTCGACCCCATCACTAAGACATCTCCTCTTCTCGTTGTTATGATCCCTTTGATGCCCGATTCTGACGCCAGCCACCCTCCTAACGGCCGCGAGTTACATCCTCAACTCGGTTACGAGTGAGCTTAATATGATCAGGATCTGAATGTAAATGTTCTTCATTGTGCTATAACATCCATTGCGCGCCACATCCACAAATGCTCCAATCCGACATTAATGTTTCTTACGATCCTCCACGCTTGTAGTTGTTGTGCGCGGCGGAAGCTTCGAGGAGTGACACGAACAATCCAAGAGATAAATCACAATCAATAAGCAAATCACAACCACAGCAAGAACAAACGATTTACGTGGTTCGGCAAGTTTCCTACATCCACGGGGTAATGAGGGGGGAGTTCTTACTATTAGAAATCAAGAGAATACAAATAGAGTTACAAATCTCACCGATCAAACCCTAAAACAAAGCTCTAGACCTCTCACAAATCTCCCACAATTGGATGCAGCAATCCTCTCCAAAAGACTGCTCAAAATTGTCCTTACTTAACCCTAATTAATCAGGTTTGGGGTTATATATCAACTCAGAAACGAACCGGGTCAAAATCCAAGGCCCAGCCCAAAATCCATCTGCGGTCGACCGCGGCGGTCGATCGCGCAGGTCTCGCGGTCGACCGCAACTGGCCTTCGTGCACGTTCGCGGTCGACCGCCAGTCTGCCTGACTGATTCTTCTGCTGTTTTCCTGTACTCTCTCGCTATTTCTTTAATTCTCCACCTCGGCGAATGTTTCTACCAAAACTGAGCCGACACCAAATCATCCAATAGTTTCGCAACAAGTCCGGGAACCAAACTAGAGCTGAAACGCAATCTCCCCCTAATCTGAATCAACAAAACCTGCTGCATCTGAAAGATTGCCTACGTATCCACTTGCCCAAGGAATCAAGCCGAATATAGTTCATCCAAATGGCCTCCAAAGACCTCAACACTGAAGAATGTTCAAAAGCTTCAAACAATGACCAAATTTCACTCCTGAAACAACTTTGGTCAATATATCTGCAGGGTTATCGTTCGTGTGGACCTTCTCTAATATGACATCTCCATCATCCAAAACGTCACGAACAAAGTAGAATCTGACATCGATGTGCTTCGTATGCGCATGATAAACCTGGTTCTTCGCCAAATAGATAGCTGACATGCTATCACAATATACCCGAATGGTTTCCTATGTAATCCCCAAGTCCTCCAATAATCCACGCAACCACAAAGCCTCCTTCACAGCTTTAGTCACCGCCATATACTCCGCCTTTGTAGTAGATAGAGACACTGTGGACTGAAGTGTACATCGCCAACATACAGGTACACCTACCAATGTAAAAGCATAACCTGAAGTGGACCGGCGCTTGTCAAGATCTCTAGCATAATCTGAATCCACATATCCAATACAATCCTGCCCATTCTTCTCATCCTTCTGGAATACCAAACCAACATCCACGGTACCTTGAACATACCGTAGAATCCACTTCATGGCCTCCCAATGACCCTTCCCAGGGTCGTGCATGTATCTCGATACCATGCTCACGGCCTGTGATAAATCTGGCCTCGTACACACCATCGCATACATCAAGCTACCTACTGCACTGGCATATGAGACCTTCGACATATAATCTCTATCCTCAACCGAAACAGGTGACATCAACGCTGAAAGCTTGAAGTGGGGAGCCAATGGTGTGCTAACTGCTTTTGCATTGCCATCAAACCTGAATTTCTTCAACATCTTCTGCAAGTAACTTTTCTGTGTAAGTTTCAAACTCCCTTTCACCCTGTCTCTCTCGATCTCCATATCCAATATCTTCTTTGTCTCTCCAAGATCCTTCATCTCGAACTTAGATGACAGCTCCTCTTTCAACTTTCGAATAGCCGAAGAATTCCTAGAAGCAATAAACATATCGTCAACATATAAAAGCAAATATATGTGCTCACCATCCTGTATTTGTGCATATAAACACATGGGTCATATGGGCTCCTTGTGTACCCTCGGCCAATCATAAAGCCGTCGTGGGGACAAATCGAATCAAGTGGCTAATAAGTTTTGAGATCTCTTATACCACTGTCTTGGTGACTGCTTCAAACCATAAAGAGACTTCTTCAGTTTACAAACCAAATCTTCCTTTCCTACAGCTTTGAATCCTAAGGGTTGTGTCATGTAGATCTCCTCATCTAAATCACCGTGTAGAAAGGTTGTCTTTATATCCATCTGGACCAAATCCAAATCCATATGTGCCACCAACACCAATAAAATATATATCGACGAATGCTTCACAACGGGTGAAAATACCTCGTTATAGTCAATGCCCTCAAGCTGTGCATATCCATTGACAACCAATCTAGCTTTGAATCGAATGTCCCCAATAGAAGATCCCTCCTTCTTCGTATATACCCACTTGCAACCTATAGCTCTCTTACACTTAGGTAGATGTGCAAGTGTCCAAGTGTCATTCTTCTGAAGAGACCACATCTCCTCCTCCATGGCTTACCTCCACCTGATCGAATCGGGGCTAGACTCTGTCTCCATGAATGTGGATGAAACCATATCATCAACGACCTCCACTGATAATGCATATGCGATCATGACATCATTATACATGTTAGACACCCGGGGGGGGGGTGATTAGGGTCTTATGCTAATCTAATCCCGATTAAATTCCAATTAAAATTATATTGATTAATTTGTTCTTGCACGAAATATATGAGATGGATATGAACAAGAATGATATGAATAAGCACAAATAAAATACAGGCTAAGCAAAACACAAACACACGATATGTTTACGAGGTTCGGTCACCACGACCTACGTCCTCGCTCCTCACCTCGAGAAAATCTCCACTATCACAATCCGATTTGGAAGCCAGAACTTTTACACACTCGGTTTACAAGTTTACCGAAAACTCTCACATAACAAACACTATGCAATCACACTTTACACACTAAATGTAGGAACCTAGCCCGTATCCTCCTCCTCAAGTGCTCGGATACAACCTTACCCTAGGTTCGTCAACCGACGCCACTCCTATTGGATTCGACCTCGTCTCATGCCTCACACTTCTCTCGGTGTACAAGTGTATTACAAGTGATACACACAATAAATGTTAAATACAATGGTTTGTTCTCGATAACAAATGAGAACTCAATCACACACCACTACCCAACAATATATAGTATGGAAATATTATAAGCTCAATACAATGTGTGTGATAGCAGTGAATAGAAAATATGCAACTCAATAAATATAGCTAAGATATGAAAATAAAATAATAAGCTATATGTTCAATAAATATAGCTAAGATATGAAAATAAAATAATAAGCTATATGTAAAATGAGTTAGGAAAACTTCTCAATAGACAAGAAGTAAGATATGAAAATAAAATAATAAGCTATATGTAAAATGAGTTAGGAAAACTTCTCAATAGACAAGAAGACCAGTAGATGATGATGAGGATATGATCCTCAGCTAGAATTGAAAGCCTCTTCTTGTTGTAGAAAACTTTTTTTTAAACAGACTAACGAAATCAGCTTAAATAGCTCTTAATCTTTTGTTAAAAACTTATTGTAAAACAAACTCTTGGTTGTTGAAAGAGGAAGGAAATGGGGTATTTATACCCACTCAAGATATCATCCAAAACAACATTAAAAAGACCAAAATAGCCCCAGAGAATCTAATCAGAATATAGTCATTGAGATGCAATGATGAGTTCGGCGGTCGATCGTGAGAAACTGGCGGTCGACCGCGAAGCACAAAACACAGTGCAGACAGCTTTGAAACACTGGCGGTCGACCGAGAAAGT